CGCCCAACTACTTCCTGGCTCTCTTCCTTGCGACCACTCCTCGTCTCTCTTCCCGCCTCTCTTCCTCGCGACCACTTCTCGTCTCTCTTCCTCTCCTGAAGAAACTAGAAGCGCAAGAACTCCCCTGAAGAATAATTGAGGAATGATGTTGTCGAATGATATATTTCACTAGTTCTCCATCTTCTTCCCTTTCTTTTGCACATGACAAATATATTATATTTCATTGTTTCTCCATCTTATTTCCTTTCTTCTTCGCAGCTGGAGAGGGAGAAAGAGAGAGCGTTGTCGGAGAGAGGTGAGAGGCGGCAGCCAGAGATACGATCGCTGAAACGCTCACCTAGGCTCTGCGTCAAAGAGGGGTTGAGAGAAGAAGATGGAGAAATGGGATCCGACTTCAGAGTTGGGTTTTTTTTATTTTTTTATTTTCTATTAAAATGCTTTATAATAATCTGATGTGGCAGGTTTAATGACATGGCGGGTCGGATTTTATGACGTGGCGGGGTAAAATGAGGTGAATCAGCATTTCTGTTAGCCATGTAAGCAAATAACTAACAGTGTTAACATAAACTGATAAGAGTAACAGAGAGTGACCAAATTTGGACTGTTTTATTAAATTTAGTGACCACGAACGGAATTAAATATTTTTAGTGACCAAACATGAACATTTTTAGTAATCATAATGACCAAACTTGCAATTAACCCCTAATAAAAGTGACCAATTTTTTGAAAGTTTTAGTTTGATTAATCGTTAAATCCTAAATATCTTGATAATATGGCATGATTTAACAAATGAGTGAGTTTAAAAGAACACAATTTCTGAATATAAATTTTTCTAGATGATTTCAATTATTTAATTTTTTTTTTATCTTATAGGGTAATTGACCATATGTATCATTCGCAGTTACTTAGTTTAATATAAAATAACCACAGTACAAGACAAATCATGAAAGTCAAGCTGTAGTTTTCATGGACGCATTGATGTGGTCATGTGCATTAGCAAGGTAGGTACCACAATATAGGTCTAATTTTTTTTTTGTGGAGTGAATAAGATTGTCCTCAACTAAATTTAGAGTATGTTGGTGGATAAATAATTTTTTCATTGCATAGAGTGTGGATGGAAATGTTATTTTCTTACTAATTTTGTTATTGTATTGTGAAGAATAATACTTTAAGGTTTAGATATTGCTATATATGTATCTTTTCTCAAACAAAAGATTAATTTTCGATTAAAGGTTATGATCATGAGTTTCCTATTTATGCTACGCTTTTTTCAGACAAACTCATTTTTTTTTTTTGTTATGCAATTTTCTTTTCAACCATAGACAACTAAGTGACTGCATCATTAATTAAACAAGTTATGAATGGGTTATTCACGAATGTTACAAGCAAGTTTGTTACACCTCTACGGTGGCAGCTGCTTGGACTAGGTCCGAACAAAATCGTGCTCCAAAACGGGTTCTACAAAACCAAGGGTCTGATCGTTAGAGAGGGAGAAGAAGAGAGAGGAAAGGGGGAAGGGGGAGAGGGGAGAAAGGCAAGGGGATGGTGGGTGGATCTTGAGATAAATAATGAAATTTGAGTTTTTAATAGATATAAGTTATCACATTCCATTTCAGTCACTAAGTTTCTATATTAAATGTAAATATATTTAGAAAAGGGGTAAAACGGCTCAAATAAGTTGAACTTCAATCAAACCATTAAACTTCAAACAACTTGCTTGATAGGCTCAACGACTTAACCTGTTTGAGAACTTTGCTTATAACCATTAAGATTACAATGTTTATATATCATTGATGAAAAGTTATAAGAATTTCGAAAATGAAAAAATAATTTCGATGTCACGTTAATGTCATACGAAATTTTGCATTTTCAAATCATTTAAGGATTTAAATACACATTATAAATACTTTGGTCGGACAACAAGCTAGTTGCAATTATTGCAAAGTAGCTAGTCCGAGCGGGAGCCCAACCGATTAAAACTCGGTTATCTTCATCTACTCTAATTATAATACGCTGAAGCCTAAAACTGAAGCCCCATTTTGAAATTGCTGCCTCCAGAGCGTTTGTCGGAGGGGTATTTTGGGACACGGAAAAAATACCCCGGTTCATATTGCAACGGTGAACGGGCCTGGCGATTTTTTTGTGGTGAGTCGGAGCAGCGCTGTCCCCGTTCAGTGTCTTCACCGCTGCCTCGCCGCCTGCGCAGCCTTCGACTTTCACGGCCACTTTCGATCCCAGCAATCCACTAGGGATCGTGGAGAAACTCTTCGACTTCCTGGCCGCGGAGAGCGACTACCTCTTGAAGGACGTGGCGGAGAAAGAGATCGCGGCGGTGGCGAAGGCTGCCAAGGAGAAGCGAAAAAGGAAGGAGGAGGCGGCGGAAAGAGAGAAGGCCGCCGCTGCTAAGGCTGCCGAGAGCAACAATAGATTGAAGGAATAAGAGAAAGAGAGGAAGAAGCCCGAGAAGGAGGAAGAGAAGGGCGCCAGAGGTAAAATCGTTGTTTTCTTTACGCGGAATTTTGATTCAGGGTTATGACAGTGTGTGTTTAGTCTGCATTTTGCTGCTTCGTGAAACTTCTCTGTTTGTGAATTGAATTTGAGGACTGCCTAGCTAAATGGTTGAACATAGGACGATATAGGCATGCCATTATAGTTCCTTTCCGGCTTGATTAGAGTAGGGGAAGTTGTCTGTTGTGTCTGTATATGCATCATTGATATTGTGATGATGCTTCTGTTAATATGCTAAGGATATTGGTATGGTGCTGCAATTGCAAGCCTCTCATTCAAGTTGTGCCTCTTTGGTTTGAGTTTTTGGGTCCTCTACAGATTTGGTTCATCTCTTCCTCTGGCCAATTTGGTTCTTTGTGATTATAGTGGTTGTTGACTATATAGATGATGTGCTTTGGTTTTGTGTGTAAGCAGGGATTTGGGGTTTGTTTTTGGCGTAATCTTTGTGGCTTCACGCTTCATGTGTCCAAATATAAGCTTGCACAAGGAATAGAAAGAAAGGAAAAGGTGGAAGATGTTAGGTACAAATGGAAAGTGGCGATGCAACGTTTACCTTGGAGTATGATGAGGATGAAATTAGGGAAGAGGAGAATGGGAGAAAGGAGTTGAGAGTAGGTTCTAATGGATGTGGTTTTCATGACTATAGGTGAATGCTTCATAGCTCTCTTGGTTCCGTTTTTCCTTTAGTCCTCAAAGCAAAAGGAATTCAATTTTCTGCTTCTTCCTGTTGTTTTGTAAATGGGTCTCAGTTTTGTGGTTAATCAGTAGAGGGATGGTATGAAAGAACACCCTTTTGGGGTGTATGAACCTGATACTCATTACTTCAACTTTTCATCAATCACAGACTAGGGAGATGCTTACTGTTTATAGTGTTTTAGCCTTCTAGACTATCCGGATACTAACTGCAGCTCTTTGGAAGAGGCAATTGCTTGCACTTTTCACACTTTTTCCAGTTGGTTGTCGTGGCATTTTCAGTTTACGCATTATATTGAGTTAAGATTGCATTGTATTCAACATTGTCCGAGGTTTTATGCCTCCAACATAAGCATTTGATGAGGCTGCTAGGTTGAGTGCTTTAAGTAGTGGTTTGGACATATGAACTCTCCAGCTTCAGTTTAAGATTCTCAAACTTATTGGCCTTTTTTGGGTCAATTAAGGGGTTGTCCATGAAGATGGGACTTAAGGAAATCAGGTTGTTTGTTTGATTTGCAGGGTGCATGTGTCTTTCTGCAATTTGTAGCTCGGTTAGTGACTTTTGCAGAAACATGAGTTTTTTTCTTTACTCAGCATTCCCAACATAGAGTAAAGAAAATACTTGCTAGATGTGGGATGTTCATATTGTTTTTCTGATGTTGCAGGTTGAGAAATGGATGAATGATGCATGATAGAAGAGCTCTATGACCGCCAGCCTTATTCTTTAGGTATGCCTAATGAGAGAGGTGGGTGAATTAGTATGCTTTAACGGTTCAGCCATAGATGTACCTAGCATAATTCTAATTTGGAGGAGTCTATTACATCTTGCGTGTTATGACGATCTGGAACTTGCATTACTCTTCCATTTCTTTACTTCTTTCTGTCTTGGTTTGTTTTACTTTTGCATGCAGGTGACAACTAGGGCGGGTCAAGAACTCAAGATAGAGACAATGCTGCTATTAGGTGATTACTTATTTGTTCCTTTGTCTTTCTTTCAGTGGCGGGTAGTAATAATAATAATTTAAGTGATTAATGCTGGAACAAGCAAACAAATTTAGTTCTAAATCTTTTTTGGGCCTTTTGGTTGTGATTTGATCATTCTGGGGTTCATAGGTGTCTTCTGTTTTTTGTTGTTTCATTGGTGTGAGAAGTAGGCTTAGTTGTTTGCATTCTCTTATTTATGCTAGCATCCTGTTGTTTGCAGATGAAATGATAGTTTTGCAGTTAGCGCATGTTGAGGAGGTCGAGGTCTTGCGACCAATCCAGTCAATATTCAATAATCGCTCACAAGATTTCATCAGTGCACTTGAAGTAGTGTATTTTCACTTATAGTTGAACTAGCTTATAACCCGACGGAGGAGCTGAGCTGAATATTAAATCTACGGGTTATCCCAATAATTCAATATTCGGCTCAATTCCTCCGACCAACGGGTCGGGTTATAGGCTAGTGTATATATATATATATATATGGGTTTACCAAGACCGTTTACTCTAGAGCACCGATTCCTTGAGTTAGTGGTTAGATCAAGTCAACCGACCTAACTGTAGTCGGTTGTATATGTTTTTATTATTTTGGTAGTAATTTGAGGAATACCAGGTTCATCATATATATCACTCTCCATTAGCTAGGCCAAAATAAAGTCTGGTTGTGACCCAGCCGGTTCAGATCTTATGGTTTGGTTGTGTGTGTTCTATATTGATTGTAACCCTGCCCTGCCCTGCCGCATATTATTTCTTATGGCGCCATCCGAATTGAAGTGACGATCGAGAGAGACTGAAACTTAAACTTTGATTAAGCATGGGAAAATGTGCATGGCATACCAAACTGATGGAAATAAACACGGACTGAAATAGCTAGAAACAGGAATACATGCAGATGAATACAACTCTGGCATAGAAATGCCACTTGAAGACACAAACACAGATCAACATAAAACAAACACACGAAGCTAGCTAGCACCCTGGCATGGAAATGCCACTTGAAGAAGACGAACTACAAATTAAACACCTACTCCATCGATTATCTATCGGCCACGTTCCCCAACGATCGATCAGTTCCCTCCATGCACTTGCGCGTACTCCTCGTCCAGCTCCTGAAGCTGCATAAGCAGTCCATCCAGACGGGTCATTGCGATGTCCGGACCGGCTGCACGAGCCACCCCCTCGTTTTGTTCGATCTCGAAGAACACGGCAGCTCGGCGGCGCTTCAGAACCTGCTCCCCCTGCAGAGAACTCTCCGGCACGGCTAGGAGGTCGGCCATCCAAGCAGACTCACGGTAGATCTGGCCAAGCACGGGCTGGAGCTGGCGGGCCATGTTCTGGAGCTCCGTTTCTTTGCGCTCCAGTGCCCTTCGGTGCCTCTCAGCTTCCTTCTGCATGCGACTGATGGTTTCACCAACGGCGAGATAGGTATCCGTGTCATCATCGGGTATGCGCTTCTGCAGATCAAATTGCTCGGCTTCCTCCTCCTCCAACCTCGCAATCCTCCCAAGTGTGGCCTCCATCTCTTGCTTCTTTTGGGCGTAGGCCGCACAGTGGAACAGCTCTGCCATCTTGATCGATGTGTGGGCGCACCTAAACCAAATAAGAAAAAAGGAGCAAGCAAGCGCATTTGTACGTACTTACGTAACTGACCCATCGACAAGAATAAAACACTATTAAATTAATTACGTACGTACGTTTGAATGAACTAAGAACCAACCTGCAGATTCTTGATCTCGGACGGGGAACTAGATGGCAAGTTGGTAGCTAGCTAGGCAGTGTGATATGGCCGGTGCATTTTCCTTGCCCATCCAAGAGCCCATATATATATATAGGCCTTTAGCATGCATATGGTTATCAATACCGGGCCGGGTCGGACCGGTCGGTCGGTCAGTTACCATGTTTTTTCCCCCAATATATCATATATATTTTGTACGTTTTCTCTCTATTCAGTGGTCCATTTCTTGATCAACGGCCGGCTGTAAATGAATTTAAATTATTTTAGGGGGTACAAAAACTCCACCCCCGTGTCGTATAACCCTAGCTATTGTATTAACCTGATATGAGGGTGATCTACGTACGAGATAGGACTTGGTCTAGTTGGCAGCCCACTGATTTTCTACGAGGAACAAATTCGTATTTGACAATAATGTAAATTCCCTAATCAAAATGGGGCTTGAGAGAGACTACCAACCAACTCTAAAACCATATTTAATTTCTACCAGCAGGAACAAGCTAGGATTGCGATCGATCCGGTACGTACGGTTTGACCGTAGCAATGCCACTCCTACCCGTATCTCCCTAACGCCAAGTCCGAAAGTGACAGACATGATTCAAAGGCTCCAAACCCGATCGAGCGCCATGGCTGGCATGCATGATTCTCTTTACCCTTCTTCCAATGGCCAGGCATGGCATGGCGCGCGTGAATAATATATATATATAATATATGTAGCTTGCTTCTGTCGATTGCGCATTGAAATAGGATACAGCTTCTTCAGATATCACAAACAAGGAAAGCAATGATGGTGATGATATATCATATATATATATGAGAGCTCGGATCGGATAGTGACATGATTTAATTAATAGGTTGCAGCACTGCTCGCTCGCTCGCTCGCTCTTGATCTTCAGACAACGTACACTTGATAATAATAATAATAATTATTATAATAAGGCTTCAACAACTGTAGGTGCATGATATCAATTCGATTCAAAAGGCTATTGCAATCACCGGCAACAACATTTGCATTCTGTCAACTCCATCATTTAATTACTTCTTGGAGTTGGATGCAAATCTAAAAGATTCAATCATTCTAAATCCAACAAGTAAAGTAAATGATGGAGTTGATGCGTACATATATTATGTTATATAATTGTCCTGAAGCATTATCTATCATGCTAGGCTAGCTAGAATATTATGGTAATTAGTCTATGATTTCCTTATCGGCAGGCATTGTTGCCGAGTTTGTGTTGTTTTCAGGAGTGGTTAGTTTGTTACTTGTTTGACACCAACTAGTCTACATCTCTAGCTACAAGTACACTCATACATGCAATGCAGGTATGAGATTTGTGAATGGAGTGCGTTCCTTAAAGCAGAATTTGGAGGCCTACCCGCAACTCGCCCAAGTCTTTTCCTTTGACCTTTTTTTATTTAACACGTTCCATATATATATAGGAGGGAGGGAGATTAGCTATAAAATATTTGGGTTGGGCTCTTTCGGGATTTTGTGCATCGGGTTTCAATTGTAGCTTTAGGAATTGGGCTATATATGGTAAATTCTCCGCTAGATTTCCCTTTTGAATTTAACACGTACGTCATTTTGGTCCAACTAAAAGTGACAATACTTTATGCTTATTAATAATTCCTTTCCAACCCCATTCAAATAAACTTTGAAAACTTGAAGAGACTTGATATATATAAAATTAAAATTTAATAAAAAAAAATAGTTGGATTTAACGTTGGTCAACAAGATCGGTCGGGTGAATCATGGTTAAATACAAAAGAACAACCGATCGACCTCCACAATAACAAGGACAAACATTTAATGTCCCAATTAACCTTCATCTGCTATTCAAAGTACAACAACGAATTCCTAAGTATGATAATCTGGTTGGAGGGCGGAAAAATATTTTATATTCGTTTTTCGCTTTTGTAATTGAATATTTGAACGCTTTTCTGACCAAATAGAAAAAGTATCGTACTTAAAAAGTTTTCTTTATATATATGTATTTCATGGCATTAATCCATCATAAATCACTAAACCCGGCCGGAAGTCATTATCATGGCATGCATGATTCCTTTTTCCCTTCTTGTTTACTTTACAATTGGTGCCGTGTGGGTTGGGAGATGGAGTCCAGGTCCATTTTTGGTGAAACTTCATTAACTTTCACTATATATATATATATATATATTGTTTCGCACTTAATTTGCTTCGCATGCATGCATCCCAGATTCCAGCAACAGCAAGAGCATATTTCAACAAGCACTCTCACATTATCTTTTCCAACTACTTTAATTTCGAACTCCTAATAGCTTTTCAGCTTCCTTCCAACCCAAGGAAAAAAGACATCATCAGCTTCACTGAAGAAGACACCATTTTTTTTTTTTTTTTTTTAATAAAGAAGACACCATTGTCCGTCGTAACCATTTGTCTCTACTAAAAGATCACAGAAAGTAACTAATTAGCATGATTGAGCTAGCGAGAAGTACGCACACTAATGAGTAATGACGTTGCCCATCAGCTTCATTGCATATATATGATCAGATGAACATATATACATACATAACTTTTCGTCAGTCGATTGAACGTACATTATCAGAGGGTAAAACTTGTTTCACTTTTCACCACATATATATATATATAGTACTCCTCCTTCTCTGCAGGCCCGTCGGAATCCAGAGGGAAATGCAGATAGCACAAAGAAGGAAGGTAAGTAATGGTGATTGGCGACCCAAACTGGTCCCCATTCCCAACAGCAGATTCCTTCTCTCTGTCTCTCTCTCTCTCTCTCTCCAGAGTTCAGCGCCTGAGCACATCGTCATATATATATTTCTCACTCCTGATTTCCTCTGCACGAGAAAACAGGTGGAAGAAAGTTGGAACCTTTAAACTAAAGTTGGTTTCTGACGAGAGTGGAGTCACCAATGAGCTCTGTTTTTTTTTTCTTACAGTACCAATGAGCTCTGAGCTGAAAGGGCTTGATTTCGCGGGGAGAAATGAGAGGTATATTAAATGGGTTTTGCGAGTATTGCTTGTGGCAGAACACAAGACCGGCCGGCCTCTATCTTTTTTCCTTAATTAGTATAGTCCTTTCTTTCTTGTGCAAACCAAACCCATCGGGAAATGCTGATATCCCAAACAAGGAAAGTAAATAATGGCCCAAACTGGTCCCCAGCAGCAGATTCTTCATCAGCACAGCACATATACATTTTCTCCCTCCCGACTCCTGATTTCCTCTCTGTATTAGAAAACTTATATGGGAAGAAAGCTAGCTTAGCTGGAACCTTTTAAGTTGTTTTCTGACCAGCGGTGTCAGCAATGAGCTCTGCGCGCGCTGAATGGGTTTTGCTTAGGAGATTAATTAAGGGAGATAGAAATGAGAGAGAATTAATGGGTGGTTGACCAAGAAGTAGAAACGGAAGCGTGATTTATACAAAGCAAATCAGCTTCTAACCCACCCTAAATCAGGCATGAAATATGAGCTCTGAGCTAATTAGCAGGGACAGATTGATTAATTATTAATTAATGACAGGAAGGAAGGAAGGAAGGAAGGACTTTGATTTTGATGGAGTATAAATGTATATATAACTATTATTTATTTATTTTTTTGCCCCGTAATTGTCGAATCTTTTATTGGCTAAGCTTGTTGAATCAAGCATCTCGAAAAAACAACCGCAGTTTCTGCAGTGACTACAAAAGCTTGTCGAATATACAGCAGACTACAAATCACAAGCACTCTACTTGCTAACTACAATACTAAGTTACTAACTACTAATCACATTGCTAACACTATACAAAGCCTGGTAATATACTGAAAACACTCCACCATTGATGGTCTTTACTCCCTCCCACATCACATCACCAGTCGGTTCGCTCCTCGTGTTTTTGTTGCATCACTTGATCTTTGGCACCAGTGTCTTGGCCACGCCAATGTTCAAGCCGTTCAACGTCTCCTGTCTCACAATCAAATAAATTATGCTCCCAAATCTTCTTCTTCTTTGTATCATGGTTGTTCTGCTAGCAAGATTCACAAATTACCCTTTCCGTCTTCTACTTATCATGCTTCCGCTCCATTAGAACTTATATGTAGTGATCTTTGGGGACCTGCTCCAATTTTATCTTATGATAAACAATCTTATTATGTTCTCTTTTATGATCACTACTGCAAGTTTTGTTGGATTTATTTTATTCAATATAAATCTCAACTATTGAGTGTCTTTATTCAATTCCATCAATTAGTTGAGAAGTTTTTTGGCCTTCCAATCAAATCCTTTCAATCCGACATATCTTACTACCCATGGTATAGTTTATCGCTCTTCCTGTCCATATACTCCTCAACAGAATGGTTGTGCTGAACGCAAGCATCGTCATATTGTCACCAACGATCTTGCTATGCTGCATCATGCGTGTGTGCCTTTGAAATATTGGCCTCTGGCCTTTGATGCGACATGTTACCTCATCAATCGTACTCCCACACCTCTTCTTCATAATGCTACTCCATTTTCCACATTTTTTCCACATGATCCTGACATTCAAAACCTTCGTGTTTTTCGATGTTTGTGTTATCCTTGGCTCCGTCCCTATGTGTATCATAAACTTGCTCCAAGATCTATTGCTTGTGTTTTTCTTTGATACAGTAAATTACACAAAGGTTATCGTTGCCTTGATCCTCTCACTGGCCGTATTTATATTAGTCGACATCTTTTGTTTGATGAGTCACAGTTTCCTTTTGCAGATTTGAAGCCAAGGCCCCAACAAGAGTCCATGGCCCATGATCTGTCCCAGCCCACTATCTTATCGATTCTGCCCTCCCTAGCTACCGGCCCACAGTTCCCTTCCTCTCCTCCAGCTCAGTCCACTATTGCAGCCCAACAACCCACCCCACAGACCACTTCTAATTCGACCCATATCTCTTCCCCAGGCCCATCTTCAAACCCTGACCCAACTCCCCTTCTTCCGGTCCCTTCTCCCTCGCACACTTCCCTTGTTCCCTCTCCAGTCTCCACCCACCAACCCGACCCCTGCTCCACCTCGCCCTTCTCAACGACCACGTTTCACCACATCGCCCAGAATCGTCCCTACTTCACTCGCGCCTCTTCCACCCCGGCGGATGGTCACCCGCCAGCAAACCGACAATCTTAAGCCCAAACAATTTCTCGCCGTCAAGAGTCGGCCAGAAAATAAAGGTTGGCTTAGGGGGAACGCATGAATTGCTTGGAAGAAGAATTCTTGGCATGAATTTCTCGCCGTCAAGATCGTCCAGATAAACTTAATTTTCTTCATGAGCTACATAGCTTTTGCCAAAATACTCAAGGTGCTCTCTGTATTGCGGGTGATTTTAATATGGTCAGAGTACATGATGTTAGAAATCGAACAAGAAAGTTAGGGTTATCGATCTGGCTGAGTCGCGGATTAGGTCGCTCTCTTTAAGACGTTCGCGGCACTGCCTTCATTGCGCATGGTAGACTATCAGCCGGTCGCCTCCAGGATAAAACAGCCACTCTAATTTTGTTGCTCATCGGTTTTGTGCGAAAACCGAAGCTCTATGAACTCACTCTCTATCTCGTGTTTCTGCTCTCTGAGGTGCGTTTAGAGGGTCTAGGGGGTCTGCTATTTACAGGAGCAGAAAATCCAGAATATTCTCTCTTTCTTTGGGAATAAGTCACATTTTAATTAGGGAGATAATTACTCTCATAATTAAAATATATTATATTATATTAAGATAATTAATTCTAATTATCTCCATTATATTCTTTTTATTTATTATCCTTCTATTTTCGTATATAGAAACATACTGGATAATTAATTCATTCCCAACAATCCCCCACTTGAATAGTTTTGAAACTGTCTCTGAGCATCAACAGATCCATAAGATCGGGCATAAGCTAAGGTATCGCGAAGATTTGAACCTTAGCGTAGTGGTTACACTTTCGATTTCATAAGGGTGACTCGTAGTCTTGAACCCTATCTCAGACAATGTAGCACACCGGATCTTTTCATTGAGTGATATTCTCTCATAGGTCGTGCGTTTATGGCCATGCACGTTATCCCGGTTTAGTGAACGCTCTAGCAACTTTGTGCCTCCAAAGTTCCATAGGGAGCGGCCCCACTCCCACATTCACATAGGTGAATCTATCAAAAGTACCCCCAAAGTAAAGTACTTCACTCCACATAGAGTATAGATCTCATTAAGAGTTGAACTCAACCTCCAAGGCTTTGGGATTCATGCTTCACTATGCATGAACTTTTCTCAATATTACTCATGACTTGTTATTACCCATTGAACCCGTTTCTTGGGATCTCTAGTCTATCGGGTCGGGTTACCATCACTTGTAATCCATGGTTCGGTAGGCATAAGTCTCATACCTTTCGAGGTATTTTGGACTTTTCTCTCTAGGTAATCCTTTCGTCAAAGGATCAGCTAGATTCTGTTAGGATCATACATGATCCACCCTCATTGCTCCTATCGTTAGGAGTTCTCTTACAGTACTGTGTTTACGACGAATTTTTCATCTCATTTCGTTCTAGAACAGGTTCCCTTCTTTAGTAATAGCTGCGGTGCTATCACAATTAATCAACTACCGGAGGGATCGCTCTTTCCCATAAGGGAATCTCTAGTAGTGACCCTCTCAATCAACTTTCCTCTTTACTAGTCATTGCTAGTTCTATCATTTCTGATTTCTTGGTTTATTGAGCCAGGATCGTTTACTTCTTAGACTTCCAAGACATAGCTTCTCTATCGATGTTTAAAACAAAGCCTCTTGTTGTCTTGGAGTCCTCTATAGGGTATTCTAATCCGCATCACTATACCCTACCAATACAGCAAAACCATTAATAACAAATACCAAGGTTTTTCTATTCTTTTAAGGTGTCTGATGACCCCTTTCAATAGCATTTCAATGTTTCATACTAGGACAATCAGTAAGCCTGCCAAGTACCCCCACTAAATCGAGTCTTATGTTTATCAACTGCCTCTGGCAGACTGTCAATACTAGTATATTCTAACTTTCTTACACCATCTTAGGTGTTCTTTAAATATTTATACTAGCATCATCAAACATGTATGCAAGTGTACATCTTGTATTTTCCTAGTTATTAGGATCTCTAAGCATAACATTTGTTTCATTCAGATCCTTCACATTCAAAATTCTCAACTATCATGGTTTTTCAATATTGACATCACGAGTCTTTGTACCAAAGATCGACGTATCATTCATAATGCAAGTGTCATTCTCAAATTTGTACTAAATGCACTTGTCATTTTCACTTTTAAAACCATGAGAGAGAATCTGATTATTCATGCCACGAATTCCGAGTCTATTTCAAATGATATAATGATTTGTCTAACCATAGACTCCAGAAGCATGTTCTAGAATAACAACCTTTAAGATTGTCCAAATGTAAATTTCTTTATTCAAATCACCATTCACAAAAGAATTTTAACATCCATATGATGGTTGTTATTCTACATATTGGTGAATAGATATCAAAGAAATCTACAATTTTTCCTCTTCGCATAAAGCCTTAGCTACTAGGCGATCATTATACTCATAAACTAAACCATTAGGTTTCAGTTTTTCTTTTAGGAATCCATATTACCTTGGCTTCATTGCCAGGAGGTAATTCTCAAAGATGCCAAATCTTGTTTGGTTCCACCGATATATTACCCAAGGCTTTATAACCAAGAGGCAACTCTACAAGATTCTAAGTCTTACTAGACTCCACAAATTCCATTTCGTTAATAATGGATTTTCCCACGAATCTGCATATTTATGGAAGTTCACACTTCAAGCAGACTAGTGGGATCTTTCTTAGGGTGTAAATAACAAATTCATAACCAAAATCCTTTAGTGATTTATGGTTCATTTGTCTCATGTGAATTCATACACAAATTCATCACCCCACTATTTCCATTATTTCTAATAGAAGGTAGGATATCACCCCCACTATTTCTTGATTCAAATGAAAATTTATTGGCATCAATGGACTCCACAACACAATGAGTATTCATTTCGTAAACTTATGTGTTTTACAATATCTTACACGCTCATATGCTCTTCTAGTTATCATGTTACACGGATTCTCTAACGCTACCACATGCATGCCACATATCGAATAATCAGTGCAATCTTAATGCAATTAGGCATTTCAAACCATTTCAAATAACTAGTCATACAATCAGAGCACTCTAAAGAGCAATAAATTATTTATTGTCTTTTCCATCAAGTTTACCCATATCAACATAAATCAGATCTATTGATTTTGATTCTCTAACCACATAATTATGGGTCATTTAGCTTGGATATACAAAATTCATATTTTTCTCAAGCATCCAATAATAATATAGGAATGCGATATAAGATATTCTAATTCTTCACACAGACACACTTGGAAGAATTTATCTTATCTACTTAACCATTCCTTACGTCTAGGATAGTCAATGACTTTCTAGAGGTAGGGTTCTTTTCCACTTTCCCAGCACCATCAACAATAGTGGTGAGGGTCTTGCCCAACAACACTTTCTCCTTCAATACGCCTCAATGCATGATTGAGCTTAGCTAGTTTATCAGATGCATGCCTTGCGGCGTCAATATCCAACCACCATTCTTCAGAATTGTCATTAAGGCCTATCACCAGCGGCGGTGGAAGCACGATCGAGGAGAACCAGAGTCGGTGAATTGAGAGAGTGCCAAACTGGGTGTGTAATGTTGTTATAATAACAACAAGATTCATTAAGGGCTACGAGTAAACTTATCTAAAATCTAATAAAATTAAAATTAAAATATATTTAGCTCACCCACCCTTCTTCTTGTCTGATCCTCTTACTCATATATCAATTTCTTCCGCCCCTCCCTACAGTCTCTCCTCCACCTCCGGCGGCAATCCTCTTCCGGCCGCTCAATTCTCTTCCGCCACCAGTCTCATCCACGTGGTGACGAAGGACGGCAGGTTCAGCCTCGGATTCCCGTCCAGCATTAGCTCGTCGTTTATTATCTGGTACGACGCCTCCTTCGGGATCGATTGCCCCGCCATCTTGAACTGGGGGAGCGTGGTGCGACGTACCGGGATGCGAAGGTGGAGTGCACTGACTCGTCCGTCTCCAGCTCGGCCTTCGACAGAGCCATGATCGATCGTCCATCTCGAATCTCGTTGTCGCACCCTTCCTTCCCAGATCTGATTACTCCTTCACCTAGTTTTTCTATCGTTGATGGCGGAGAAGGCAATGGCCATCGGAGGTGGAAATCCGGAGTGGAGCAATGCTATGAGTTGTGCGGAGGTGGGAGGCAAGGCGGCACAGCGAAAGGAAGGGGCGACGAGCGACAGGTCCCCCACGCCAATCTGGATCATCTCTGTAGCCTCGCGAATGGCATTTGGATGGCCGCCAGCGTAGCCTTCATACAGGGCATCTACGCCGACCAGGGAACGAAGTAGAAATCAGGCCTACAGCCTCTCCACCACGGAAGGAGGCGATTCTTTTCTAGATCCGACGATTCATCCAATCTCCGTCGTTTTCCAGCGCGATCGTATCCAAAGAGGCCCAGGTTCTTGTTGCGCCTGATACAGATTGTTGCTCTCCCCGGTGGGGAGCAGATTCAATATGATAGAAAGGCAGTTCGGCTTGAGCAAGAACGCTGGCGGCGGCGGCGGAGTATCCAGCACGAGTAAGTTCAGCCGTCAATATCCCCATCGCCGCCGTTCATCGTGGATAAAATGAATCACAAGCTCCCTGCGGCTGGGCTGCGGATTAAATGTTCAGCTCGTGATGAAGAAAGGAGTGGAAGAATCTAGGCGGGAGGACGATCGACGAAGGGGTGGAAATTGAAAGGATTCACGAGATGTAGGCAATGCGGGAAGCGGGATTCAAAAAAGGAGGATTGATTGCACAGGAGGAGGCTGTTTGGACGGTTGGAAACTTTGGGAAGATTGCTGCTCTCCCCGGTGGAAGGCGGCAGAGGCGGTACAGATCCATGAGATGAACGAAAGAAATTATGAGCTGCCGAGTGTTTTTGGGGGAATTAATGGGTTTCAGTAATGTGGGTGTGGCCGAGGCGGGGGTTAAAAAATAATTTATGTATTTTAGTGTTTTTGTATGAATTATTGTCTTTATGGTATGTATTTGGAAGTTATTGGTATGCAATCCACAAGTATTTCATAAGCACATTAGAACCCTTCAAATACAGAGCACAAACACGATAAATCAAAACCAAAAAAAGCATACTAAAAACCTCCTAATCCATATTACAAACCGCTTAAAACAAACCAGAAACATCGCAAAGCAAACCACAAATATATTAAAACAAACCCGAAACCTCGCAAAGCAAACCACAGAAGTTTCGAAAGCACACTAGAAACTTCTTAATGCAAACCAGAAACCTCTCTAATACAAACCACAAACACGGTAAAGCAAACCAAAAACGTCCTAATGCAGACCACAAATATATTAAAACAAACCAGAAACCTCGCAAAGCAAACCACAAAAGTTTCGAAAGCACACCATAAACTTCTTAATGCAAACCAGAAACCTCCTAATGCATACCACAAATCTCCTAAAACAAACCACAAACCTCACAAAGCAAACCACAACATTTGCGAAAGCACACCAGAAACCTCCTAATGCAAACCACAAACACAGTAAACCAAACCACAAAAAAGCAAACCATAAATGTCCCAATGCAGACCACAAATATATTAAAACAAACCAGAAACCTCACAATGCAAACCACAAAGTTTTTGAAAGCAAACTAGAAACTTCTCAATGCAAACCACAAACACGATAAAGCAAACTAGAAACTTCTTAATGCAAACCACAAACACGATAAAGCAAACCACAAAAGGCATACAAAAATATAAGAAACCAAACCATAAATCTCACAATGCAGACCATAACATCCAGTGGTCGTTGACCGGTCAACGAAACCCGTTGACCAAACTCCGATGACCGTCAGTGAGTAGATTCCGGCCCCGATGACTAGATTCCGACGACGGTGAGCATATTCCGACCACGGTGAGCATATTCCGGCGACGGTGGCATATTCCGATGACAAAAAAGCATGTTCCGGCGACAAAAAGCATATTCCGGTGACCGGAGACCAGATTTCGACGACCGATGGCCGAATTCAGGCGACCAGAATTTTGGGCCTATAATAAAAAAAATATATTTATTTATTTATTTATATTTTTTATTATTATTTGAACATATTTTTCATAATGACAATCATACCCCTGCTTTGATTTACACTAGGTCAACTCAACTAATAAAAAGTCATCACATCCCTACCTTCTTATTGGTGAAAGACTAGTATTGTCACTATAACAACACAAGGGGTGTTGTCATAGTAACCGGTAGGGCTAGGCATGCGGGCGGATCATCCGCGGGTTTGGGCCGACCCACCCGCATTTGACCCGAATTTCGTTAAGTGGGTGGGTTTGTGGGTGGGTGACGGGTTGTGCTGGGAGCCATCCGCCGGGTGGTGGGTGGGTTGTGGGTGAGTGTGCGGGTGACCCACTCAACCCAACAGCAAAAAGATCAAAGTCGTTGGCGCTAGAGAGAGGAGAGTGGAGACGTTAGATATAAACTCGGACTGCTCCTGGAGTTTGAACCTCAAAGCCAACCTTCCAAATAGAGATTCCCTCTTCTTCCCTTTACTTTTTCCTCTAATTCTTGTGCCTAGATCACCGCTCTTTCCTTTGTGGAATTATTTTCCTTAGTTCTTTGCACCTAATAATCGTCTCAATCCGTAGAAAACTCTTCCATAATAGAATTTCTATCCAATTTAAAAACTAATTCCGCATTTTTCGCCTTATTTCAACTACTTGTTTCCCTCGATGATTATCTTCACCTATTATCATGTCAAGTTGACTCCTTTATATTATATACATTGTGATGTGGGTGAACCCACAAACCCACCCGCATCATCCACCATCCGCCCGACCCAACCCGAGACTAAATGTGGGTGGGTGGTGGGTTAAAAATTATTAATCCGTTTAAGCGCGGGTGGGTGCATTTTATGGTCAAAATCCACCCGACCCACCCAATGCCCACCCCTAGTAACCAGTCCCTGCCAAACTATAGCTCTGCTCTTTTCATTAACACAGCTTCCCCAATGCCAGGCCGGGCCCCATCATTCTATTTAGGCTGAGAGAATGGGATTGGGCCCCAGAAATAACAGCAGCCTCTTCAACGGGCTTGGGTTCTTTGCTTGTGACCAGGTCATCAGATCACAATGTCGCATCAGTAGGGATGGCAATGGGTCGGGTTGGGGGCGGATAGTGCATATCCGTTACCCTACCCAATGTAGTTCGGGTTTTACCCATACCCGTACCCACACGAGAAACGGGTAGAAAATCAAAACCATGCCCATACCCGTTCGGGTTTCGGGTATCCACGGTTATCCATGAGTAATAATTTCTCTTCATAATTCCAACCAATATGTTAACATTCACACGTATACTCACATTACGTAAGAGGAAAAGTACGACAATAATTCACAAGAATGACGAAAATTAATTAAACAACATTATTTAATGAAAATATTATATTTATATGCTAAATATAAAATATTCTAGAGAAAAATAATGATTATTTCTAGACAAAATACATATGCATGTGTATAATCGGGCGGGTTCGGGTTGGATAGTGAGATAACCATGCCCACCCGTTACCCGCAATATTCGGGTACGGGTAAAACCCGTACCCACGAAAAATGCTTCGGGTTCGGGTTTTGTGAACGGCTATTTGCCGCCAACCAAAAAAAAAAAAAAAAAATTTTGAATTCAAATTTTGAATTCAAAATTTGAATTCTCCCTTCCTTCCCTTTCCTATAAATTCGAATACCATAACATTTGACTCATTCCAACAAAAACACTTTTGTCGATGAGCCCAGTGCCTCCGTCGCCGGCACCGTTCCTCCGTCGCCGGCCAACCTCCCGTCGTCCTCAATCGTCGGAAAACAAGTAAGTTTACTTTTTCCGGCAATTTTTCCAGTTTTCCGGCAATTTTTCCAGTTTTCCGGCGAAAAACACGGTGGGCCGAAAAAAATTTGTGGCCGGAACGTGGCCGGGCCGAAAAAAAATTTCGGCCGGCGCGAGGCCCAGCCGAAAAATTCTCTCGTCGGATTCACCTCCACTCGATCGGGATCTGCCTCCACTCGATCGGGATCTGCCTCCACTCGATCGCCCCCTGCCTCCACTCGAACCAGGCCCAGTACTCCTCGAACGAGACCGCTCATAATATGAACGAATGCGACTGGTGCTTGTTCGAGGCCGTCCTCTCGGATTCTCATTCACTTCCGGTTCCCTCACATTGTCCTCTGCTGGGTGAAGCCCATAGAATAGGGCATCTCTTGCTTGTCTCACTACTTCAGGACCTCTTTCTTCCACCTCAACAGTAAGACGCCTAAAGTGTTCTCGTTGAAGCTCAATTTCATCATTGACTTGTTGTTGATGTGGGGGGTTTTTATAATCCAAAGTCCGCCAAAATACATGCAACTCTTGATCATAGAATTGACGTACTTCTTCCTTAGCTTGAACAACCTGGCAAGCACACTTGAGCCCATGTGTCATCTGAAAATGACACGCACAACGGTCCTTCAACTCCGCCGCCCCATCTAACATCAGTTTGATCGCCTCACAACTAACGACCCTCCTCAAAAACGATTTGCACGGAGGCTCAATTGCCCTACTCAGATTGCGGTTAAGTGACTTGTGCAGCTCATTCACCACTTCTAGAAACTGATGTTCCATGTAGTTGTGGTTCTTCGCAAAACAAGTGTCAATCGCTCCTCTACCAGACACAAGGAAACTCTTGAATGAAGAGTGAGATGACTCAACTCTATTCGAGCTCGTGTTACCAAGATGAAACACATGGTTCGTGTAGCACTTTGCCCACATTGTCTGACAAGGCAACCACTCACCTCGCACGTAGTCAACCATTTTTATGTTCTTCTGTGTCCAGACCCTCTCAAACTGATTAATCTTTTGAAGAAAACCCTCCTGAGTCCAACTCCATGCAGCTTTGTCGAAATATTTCTTCCATACCGCTTCTGCTACCTCTCTTCTTGAAATTCCACCCAGTAATTGCTCAAACTTTTGCTTCACACAGTTGTTGACGTGCCATAAACATAGTAGGTGGACATTATGTGGGAGAGGGAAGACCAGGGGCATAGAAGCAAGCAGACCACCTTCTTTGTCTGTCACAATGACATTCGGAACCGTATCACCGAGCAACCCTTTAATACATCGCAGCACCCACTCATATGTTTCCTTTGTTTCCTGCTTAATAATTGCACATGCAATGTTGAAATTCTTCTTGACTGGAGTAACCCCAATAATCTCAACCCATGGCCAGCCATACCTATTCGTCTTGTAGGTCGAGTCAATGATGATGACTTACGGCCATGCATGCAACATCTGAATGGACGTCGGGTGCGCAAAAAACAGATTAGTGAGCACATTATTAGAGTCCTTTTGCAAACAGATATGGTACCCACGTTGTTCAGCTCCATGAAGCGCAAACTGTATCGCATCCATTTCACCCATCTCATCCAATCTGTTCTTGTAATTTATGTTGTATATCTGTTTGATATCATGACTCACACCCCCTTCAGTATTGAGTGTCGTCTTCTGCTGATTTGGTCTCACCCCCGCCTTCCTCATTAATCTTAACCTCTCCTTTTCAGCCTCACTAAACTGTTTGTTGTGTCGGTGATGTTCTGGATACAACACCTTTTCATGGTTGTGAAACCCTCTATTAGCTCCGGTTTCACGACTTGTCACTCCCACTAGGACCCATGTGTTTGGACCATCCTTTTGCCATACTTCCTTAATACATATCTGAAACTGGCAACCAGTACCCTTCGAACTAATATTCCCACGCGTCTCCTTCGTAGGGTCTGGTTTATAAGACTTAACGATCCTACTGCTTCTGTCGCAATACATACAGAGGGCAGTAACAGGATGTAGTCCAGCAGTATTCGGTTTCCATGCTCCTCTAACAATAAAGAACCCACACTCTTGAGCGATTGCTTTTGCAGCTAACTCAGCTAAATCCACACTTGCATAATGGATCCCATTCTCAAATTCTGCTGTGTAATCATGATCGGCCGGGAACCACTCTGACATTTTTCCTACAATTACAATATAACACATCAATATTCTTGTGAACCTAAACGCTAATTTCAACTCTTAACCGCTAAATTCAACTCCTAAACTCTAAATTCAACTCCTAAACGCTAAATTCAACTCCTAAACGCTAAATTCAACTCCTAAAATCAAAATTTTCCGACGATTTGCAACGAATAGGGTGGGCCGAAAATTTCCGGCGGCCGAAACCTGGCCGGGCCGAAAACTTAAGGCGGCCGGAACCTGGCCCGGCCGAAAATTTTCGGTGGCCGGAACCTGGCCGGGCCGAAAGAAAACGGTGGCAGGAGCCTGGACGGGCCGAAAATTTTTTTCGGCTCGGCCAGGCTCCGGCCACCGTTTTCCGACGGCCCGGCCAGGTTCCGGCCACCGAAAATTTTCGGCCCGGCCAGGTTTCGGCCGCCGGAAAATTTCGGCCCACCCTCTGTTCGTTGCAAATCGTCGGAAAAATTGTTCGAAACTAAAAAAAAATTGACGCACCTGCTTAGTGATGATTCATGGATGCGTGTCCGCAGTTTACGTCGAGGATGGGCTTTCCCGATGGTTTTCCGGCGAGCGTCGATTTTTTCTGATTCAATACGTTTTCTGAAACTTGAAAATGTTGTAGATTGTGAAATTTCTCAACCAAAGATGTACATATATAATTTTTTTTTTTTTTTTAGTTGGCGGCAAATAGCAATTTGTTTGGCGGCAAATAGCAAGCCCCTGGATTTTACCCTACCCGATTAGGTCGGATTCGGGTGGATATCCACGGTTACGGATATTTTTGCCATCCCTACGCATCAGGAAGAAAGTAAAAGGGAAGGAGTGATTCCCCCGACAACATGATTCTTCTGTGCCGTATAAGTAAATGGAGAAGTAACACACAACAAATAAATTGCAGATCCCCTCTCACATTCCAAGAACACACAAGTACACAAACATATCCTCTGTGCCCAAAAAAAAAAAAAACAACACCAACAAACAAACATCATGGCATTGCCATTGTACATGCTGCTCTTGTCAAAGTCGAACAAGAAGTACATGACGTACGTCCACGAGGACGGTGATCACCATGGCTTCCTCCAGTTCTCCGGTGTAGACGTTGCCAGCCCTTACGCCAGGTTCGAGATCGAGCCCGCCAAAACGAAAAAGGCGTACGTCCACATTCGATGCTGCTACAACAACAGGTGTGTGTATTACATTGTTATTGGTAATTACGATCCTTACCCAAAAAAATAAAAATAAGAAAAGTCGCGACGACATTATTTCGTCGCGAAATTTTCATTTGACTGCAAAATCTTAAATTTCATATAAAAAAAAGTTCAATACGATGCCAGCATCCCTCGATGAAATACTAATTTTTCCCAAACGGTCTGTAAGGTACCTGGTGCGGAAGTCGGAGCAAGACAGCGTCATCATGACTCGAGCCAAAGCCACGGACGAGGACGACTCGAAATGGTCATGCACCCTCTTCGAGCCCATCCTATTCCCCACCGCCGGCTCGAGCCACGACGACGGTCCCATCCTGCCCGGTTCGTCCACGTGCAGCTCAACCAGCCCCTCCACCTCAACAACTCAGACAACCACTACAACAACAACAACTTCCTCTACGCAGCAGCAGCAGCAGCGAAAAATAAGTCCGAAGAACACGGCGGTACCAGCGCCGAGTTCGCGGTGGTGAACTGGGAGTCGCTGGTGATCCTGCCGCGCCACGTCACGTTCAACAACGCGAAAGACTACCTGAACGTGGATTATAACAAGCATCGCGATCTGCAGGCGCTGCGGTTCGGGTCGGACGATGTCGGCGACCCGGCGGTGGGTTACGAGGTTTTCGCCAACGTGGACGGGAGCGTGAGGGTGAAGTCGAGCATGGTGGGGAAGTTCTGGAAAGTGGACGGTGAGGGCGGGCTGGTTGAAGCTGTCGTCGATGAGAAGAAGAGTTTGGAGGAGAGGCTTTGCTGGTTCTGGCCGGTCAAGCTGGTCGAACCGAACGCGGTGGCGCTTCGCTGCGTCGGCAACGGGAAGTTCTGCGGGTTTAGTGACGTTGGTGAACTTAAGAACTGTTTGGATGCCAAGCTCCGCAGCATCTCCGGCAAGACTCATCTTCGGGTATATATATTATTCGATCATGATCTTCATATCACCTAACTAATTTGTACTCAACTTTTAAATAATATAGTTTTGTTCGAGTTTTCAAAGAAATGAATAAATTTGACTCGAAGTTTAGGTTGATCGTTAATATTAAGGGTCAAACATTTCTTCAACAGATTTCTTTTAAAGTTTAAATTGATCATTAATATTGAAAATTATACATTTATTCTGTCTATAACTCAACATATTAATGTTCTTTCTGGGCCATATTTGTGAATTTCTTTCAAAATTTTAGACAAAATTGTCTTATTTGCAAGTTTATAATAAAATCGTCTTTTGTGTCAAAGTTCATCCCAAAAATAGAATACTATCTTTATGACTTGGAAGCCACGTCGCGCAGCCTTCCTCAGTATTATATTATACAAGGATTAAAATAACGTATCGTACCGACGATTCGATCTGAAAAACCTCTTATCGGAACCAAAACCGGTAGGCGGTATTTAGCGGTATAATACGGTTGAACCATAATTAAACTATGATTTTAGCATAAAATACCCTGTCGCTGACTTTTCCGATACAACCTCCGGTATGGTATTTCAATCCTCGATAGTATATGATGAGTGACGGGGTCAAACATGCTGAACCCAACTTTCGAATTAAAATTTAACCATTTCTTCCAACATTTGGACAAAACGGTCTTATTTAAAATTGTCATTTATCTAAAAGTCCATATAATATCTCTTATTTAATTAATTGGCTAACGTGAACATGCATGCATGGTAAGGTTGGGGAGCCGGTGATGTCGAGGAAGATATACAACGTGAACTTCAGGCTCCTGGACGCGCGCCAGGATCTACAACGAAGCCATCATCTCGCCTCGGGGATGGTCTGCAACGCCACCGACACGGCCAACAGCGCGGCGGTGAAGCTGTCGTACGCGGAGGCGAAGAGCAGCACGTGGACCAAAGCCGTGTCGCTGACGGTCGGCGTGCGCTCGACGTTGGAGTCCGGGCAAGCTGGAGATCTCGGTGGACTTCTCCGGCTCCTACGAGTGGGGGGGAAACACTTGGGCAGACGTCGGAGGTGGACACGCTCTACGACGTGGCGATGCCGGGGAAGAGCCACGTGGCGGTCGGCGTGGTGGCGACGAGGGGAACCTGCGACGTGCCGTGCTATTGTGTACACATCGATAATACATGAATAAAATCATATGTGTGAATCTTTTGTTAGTTTCATGGGAGTTACTATTCGTCTGTTCTAAAAAGATCTTTTTAAATAGGGTTTAGGACGATAAATTTAAAAATTTAGTGCGTCAAATAGAAATTCAGAGTTTCATTACTCATCTGTGTCAAATCTTCAGTTACGCGTGTTAGAGATAGGTTATGAATAATCTTATATTTTCTTGTCCTTCTAGTAGAGTCTTAGTATTTCCGTGTCCTTCTAGTATTAGAATTATTGTGATTCTCTTACTTATTGTCAGTTCTTGTAATCTATCTCTAACAACGTGCGCCCCATAGATCCCCCGGCAATTACAAGGCAAAGATTGTATGTACATACTGGTGATGGATCACACTGTAATCAACTCGGAAAAAACATAATAGAAACGTGTAGATTAAAGCCTTGGAGAGGTCTACTTATCTTGTGGATTAGTCTCGGTCATCGAGGAAACCATGCATGTAAAATCGTGTGTACTGTTCTTCTTCGTTTGTTTTGATTCAGTTCAATTCATCCAATATTTTTATTTTATGATGGTGTCGCCTTTTGGGTGTAGCTTATCTTGTGAAGAACCATGAATCGTATAAGATTTAATTTGAATATATATATATATTAACGACTCAATTTAGACACCGAAAGTGAATGACTGTTGATATGATCATACGATTTAACGAAAAAGATTTTATGCTCCTGCCCCGCGGTATTAATTCCTTTAACTAATGCACAAATATATAACGTGTATGACGCATTTGTGCAAATTCCATCAAGTCGCATGCAAGAAAAGTATATTCTCAAAGCCGGTATAAATAGGGTTAACCCCATATATTGCGTTGGACAGGGAAATCACATTAAGCCTAGCTAGCAGCTGGTGACCATTAATTAATTATTAACAGATCGATCGATCGAGAGAGAGAGAGAGTATGAAAATGGCGGCTGCCGCATTGCCGACAACAGTGGTTCTGAGGGCGGATTCGAGCAAGAAGTACTACTATACTTGCGCTACGTCCACCAAGGCGGCGACAAACACCAATGCATGGAGTCCTCCGGAAAGACGGTGCTGAGCCCATTCGCCAAGTTGGAACTCGAATGCGCTAAGGACGTCACCCCTGCCGCCCAACGGCTGTTCCACATACGCTGTTACACAGAGAAACAGCTAGGAAAACGAAGGGTTTGGCACAGATCGGAAATGAAGAGAGAGAGATCGAGAGAAGAAGATAAGGGAAAGTGATGACTTTAGTCTCCTTCCACTTTCTTACGGGCTCGACTTTACTTAAGCCCACAATAACAGAAAGATAAAACCCAACCGAAATAGACAGTTTTGTGGCCCAGAACACCAAAGCCCACTGCTTAGAGACAGTAACCTGTCTTCTTCGAAGAACAAGGTTCAGAAGCAAGGGAAGATTTCCAGAACAGAGCTTGCAGTAAAGAACAGCAAAGAGAAGGAGCAGAGAGAGCACACAGGATTTTTAACGAGGTTCCCAAACTACTGGTCACTCCTCGTCCTAGACTCAGTACACACTGAGATCTAGGAGACTCTTTTTTTTATTCAATTTTTCCTATCAAGCAAAGAAATGAAAAGTGCAGACTCAGAGCATTACAAGAATGAAATCAACACCTAACCAGACTAATAACCCGGATCCCAATCCCAGACCCGTTACACCGTTAACCAAACAGATCCTATTCCTCTGTACTGATTAACCCTCTTTGTAGATAGCCCTTTTCCACTCTCACAAAGATAATTCGAGGTCTTCTTGCTTGGAAGAATATATAGGCTTGGCCAGGCCATCCTACTGTTGCTTCATTCTGCTGTTGCATTTGAAAAAATGCCACAAGAGGTAAGTCGCAGCGCACAGCAGAAAGATCCCTTTGATTGCTGAGTTCCCTCAAAAGTGCAATGAGAGTTTCCATATTTCAACAATCTCCCCCTGAAACCAAAATTGCAGATTGCCAAGAGTGCCTGCAGCAACAAACACATTTCTATGCCAAACAAGAAGCAATCATTCAATGCAGCACATGAAACTGAGAATCCAAGACAAATAATTAACCAAAATAAAACCGAGGATTCAAAGTAACAGGACCACAACCTGGTCAAGCAAACCAATCCGACATAGAAGCAAGAAAAAACTGAAATCCAAACAAACAACTAGCAAACATCAAAGAAGGCTCCCAACAAAAACGAACAGCAGCGCAGACTCCCCCTGAGAGTTAGACTCCTTCATTGTCAGATCCTGAGCCATAAAGATTCTGAAGAGCTGCTGCGAAAGGTTCCAGCCCCATGGTAGAACTATCATCCGAATCACCATCTGAATCCGAGTCATCACTACTGATAATGTGAAAAGCAGGCACATCATCAATAATCTCCCCCTCAACTGCAATTTGCATAATGTCCATGACATCATCAGCTGAGAAGAACACGGAGGGGGTGGTGGTGCGAAAGAGGTTGAGGTTGATATCGAGACGAAGTAACAGCTGGGTGATCATGGAGCCAAAAGGCAGGGAAACCTCAAGAGAGATGCTGGCAAAAGGAAGAATGGCCCCATAGAAGAGAGGAGAATAATCCAGAGGAGTACCGTGCACAGCATGAGCACTGACCCAGATATCAAGAGGAGACAACAGATGAAGGTTTCCTGTCCTAGGAAGAAACACTCGAGTGAGGAAAAAGTGAAAGACCTGAAGGACAGGAAGCAGGGAGCGAACAGGCATGAGCTGATCAGGTCCAGGGTGCTGACCAGTGATATTATGAAACTCCTCCACCACATCAAAGGCAAAAAGGCCAAGCTCCGATTCATCAGCAAGATTTTCACCAACCGGAGGAATGTCCAAAAGTAAACCAACCTGATGAACAGGAATGGTGAACAGATGGCCAAATACCAGAGAGGTAAAAACTCGAGATGATACTTCAGAATATCGCAGGTTCGAGAAGAAGAACCGGGAAGCCTCAGGACACACAATCGGAGAGAAAGGACGATCAAGAAGAAAGTCCCATCCCAGATTGTGCACAAAAGGTCTAATATCAAGACCTACTTCAGCCAACTCGTCTAGAGAGATATTGTAAGAGGGAAGAACTTGACGAGAAGCAAAAAAGAGAGAATGGCGGTGGGAGTTTGCAGCAATGGGCTCAAGGAACAGAGTTCCAGTGAACGTCTTAATGAAGGGATAAAGTCATTGCTAAACAAAGAGGGATTGATGAGATAACAGAGACGGCAAGGAGAGGCGGGTTAAATAGGCAGGACACGAACAACCCTAAGAGCAAAGACAGGACACTAGACACACGAAACAAAGGAAAGAAAACACAGACAAGGAAAACCAATTAAACAGCAAACACAAGCAAGGAAAGAAAAGACACGCATAAAATCAATCAAGAGAAAAGGAAAGCAAAAGAACTTACTGATCAGAGATCCCTAGAATCTCTGAGAGAGATGCAAGGGATCGAAGACCGATTTCATAGCAAAGGTAAGTAAATCGGTCTGCAGACAAAGCTTTGGTAAATAAATCTGCTAATTGAAATTCAGTTGGTATGTGATGTAAATGAATAGTGCCAGCTTGAACTAACTCACGAATGAAATGATATTTAATGTCGATATGCTTGGTACGAGAGTGCTGGACAGGATTCTTGGTCATACATATAGCACTCGTATTATCACAAAAGAGAGGGATAGTAGAGACATTCAGCCCATAATCACGTAACTGACTTTTTAACCAAAGGAGCTGTGTGCAAGAACTGCCAGCAGCAATGTATTCTGGTTCTGCAGTAGACAGAGCTACAGCTCCTTGTTTTTTGCAAAACCATGAAACTAATGAAGTACCAGTGAACTGACAGTGTCCTGTTGTGCTTTTTCTGTCAGTTAGACTGCCAGCAAAGTCAGAATCTGTATAGCCAAGAAGATCAAATTGATCTTGTTTAGCATACCAGAGACCAACATCAACAGTTCCCTTTAAATATAGAAAAATATGCTTAACAGCAGAGAGGTGACTTTGCTTAGGTTGAGATTGAAATCGAGCACAAAGACAGACAGCATATTGAATATCAGGCCTGCTAGCTGTGAGATATAACAGCGATCCAATCATGCCCCGATATTTAGATTCATCAACTGGAACCCCAGTCTCATCTCTATCGAGTTTCACGTTAGTTGCCATAGGTGTAGGGCAAACATTTAGGGCAGTCATATCGAATTTTTGCAGCATACTGGACACATATTTAGACTGATTGATGAAAGTTCCATGGGGAGTTTGTTTGATTTGTAAACCAAGAAAGTACTTTAACTCTCCCATTAGGCTCATTTCAAACACAGATTTCATAGAATCACAAAACGAATCACATAGAGCAGTATTCATGGAACCGAAAACAATGTCGTCAACATATATTTGAACAATAAGAAAATCAGTTGAAGAATGTTTAATAAAAAGCGTTTTATCCACTGATCCTTGAGAGAAACCTTGATCATGAAGGAATTATGTTAAACGATCATACCAAGCTCTGGGAGCTTGTTTAAGCCCATAGAGAGCTTTATTGAGCTTAAAGACATGATCAGGATACCTATGGTCGACAGAACCAGGAGGTTGTTCGACATAGACATCTTCCTCAATGACGCCGTTTAAAAAATCACTCTTGACGTCCATTTGAAATAAAGGAAAGCCCATGTAAGAAGCAAAAGCACATAAGAGGCGAATTGACTCGATACGTGCAACAGGTGCAAACGTTTCGTCATAGTCAATCCCTTCCTCTTGAGAGTAGCCTTGAGCAACTAAACGAGCTTTGTTTCTAATGATAATGCCTAATTCATCTGACTTATTTCGAAACACCCACTTAGTCCCAATAATGCTAACATTCATAGGACGAGGAACTAAATCCCAAACATGCAAATAGGCAAACTGAGTTAGTTCTTCAATCATAGCAACACACCATTCTTCATCAGTCAAAGCTTCTTTGTAACTTTTTGGTTCTACTTGTGAAACGTAAGCATACTGACCTGGAACATACTTAC